GCCACATATGGTTTTGATTGAATAATATGAGCTGGGAGCACCAAGCCTGTCTGTACCTGCAAAATAACTTAAGAAAAAAAAAAAAAAAAAAAAAAAAAGGACAGAAAGAAATGACTGATAGCTTTATTGCTGGTGTTAATAATGCATTATCGTTTATCTTGGGATTAACAGAAAAAGCCTAAACCAACATTACAGTAGTGGGCAGAGATGACAGTTCAATTTGAATTCATTAAAACAGCAGATATGGAACCATTTTAATAAGTTAAATTAGTCCTGTTTGCCAGGGGCGATGTCCAATTTAGAGCAGTGTATGACTAATTGGCTACAGAAGTAAAGGGGTAGCATAAGGTCAGTTCAACAAAGAATGGTGTCTAAAAATGCCTGAACGTACAAAGTGCCTACTAATTTGTGTTTTTGGCTTCAAAGCATATTGTTCGAGGAATAATAGACTTTTGTGCAGATATTTGATTTGCCATTGGCGGTGGATAAAATGAAAAAAAAAATGTCTCCATCACAACAGCTCCATTTCTTGTACCTCTTATGTGTTCATTTCAATTTTTTTATATGATTGTGTCCTAGTGAAAAGTGGCAAGTGCAGTTCAAAGTTTTTAAGGGACAATATGTATGCTTTCGAGCTGAAGGTCTTGTCTCTATGGCGGTTTTGTTGCTTCGCCACATTTTATAAAATTGCATAAAACGTAGCAATATCCTTGGACACTACACCCTACACAAAACTCAGTTCTTTCTGGGCAATAAAAATGCATGCAGTTGAAAAAATGAAAGACACATTTCTACACTGAGGAACATTCAAGACCCTCCACCAGAAAAGTTACACAGTGCACCGTTAAAGCAATTCTCACATATGGCAGCATTGGTACCAGCAGTGTGGAGAAACAAAACAAGTGAATAAAAAGGGAAAATCTCCATTTGTAGGTGTTTGAGTGTAGATTGTGTGAAGTTGGTGTTGGCCTTGGTCCTACTTCAAATCGACTGATCTCACAAACCTCCATTTGATCCGAGGGGAGGAAGGGAGCTGTCCATGGTGCCGTTTTTCCAATTAAAGTAGAAGCTCATTATAAAAGGAGCTGCTAAAGAGAATTGACAGCCAAAATAGCACTTTGAACATTTCAGCAAGACACTAAAAACACAGCTAATGGCCAATTTACTGTATTAGTGATAGAAAACAACAGCTAAATATTTCCACTGAACTGCAGGTAATTAAAACGAGGGACAATAAATGGGAACATCCTTTTTTATTTTTAATTTTAGTTCACTCAGGGTGGTGCTTTGTTCATTAAATCTAGGGCTGGATCATTTGTTTTAAACAAAACTAGAGTAATGGGTATGTGCTAGCGTAAATTACAATATAGGCTTTTTCTGGAATGTCTTCAGCTTTCTTACAAGACTTGTAGATCTTTTTGAATGAATACAAGAGTCAAAATTAGTGATATAGTCAGATGCATCAAACTATGTAGGGTTATTACTGTGCAATGCAATGTAATACAAACTATGGTTCATGCTTAATCACTATGCCACACATTTTGGTGAATTTGAATCTCAAGTAGACTGACTTTTTCAAGCAGGCCCAGTAAGACAGCAATCAAAACTAAAAACCCATAATAAATGTCAGATTTGTTTTGGTAAAAAAGTATGACATTTAAGGATAATTAGGAATATTGGTTAAGTTATATAGAGTATCCCATGGACAAACAAGCACCTTCCAGTCAAAAGGATTTATGAGCATTAAATCCTTAATAGTGTTGTTTCGATTGATTTTTAAAAACATATCTGATGTGATAAGGATACTTGGCCTTAGTATACTTAGTCCGGTGCTGCATAGTGAAGAATTAGATTAAAGCTAATCAATGTAAAATATACGAGCAAAACGTAAATCTTCTAAAGGCTATCTCTAAAGAAAATCTACATGAATAAATGAGATTTTGAGGATTAAAGTATTAGTCCAAGGTATAATGAGGGCTAATTATGCAGAGTAAACAAAGTCTGTTAGCGCTATTGCCTGTTGTCGGGCTGAACACTCCGTAGTTATTTTACTAAGTTCATTGTCCACACAAAAGGGTAAACGAAGGAATCAAAGAGGTAACACCAGTTTATTTTCTGCCATCATTAGTGTTTTAAGTGTCTACAGAGCCTCCACAGTCTGGATTTAACATGCTCAAAGACTCAGCGAGAGCATTATTACTGATATAATACCTGAAAAGTGTGCGGTATCTGATCTTTTGCCAATATCAGTATCAGAACAACACTAATCCTTAATCCAGAGTTTAAATCACTGTAATCAATCTTGTGTGATACTTTTAGACTATTCCTAACCCTGTACAAAAAATAAAGGTGAGAAAGCCAAGTTGTTACCCAGAAAAAGTAGACACATAGCACATTGTCAGACTTTTTTTTTTTTTTTTTCTTTTAATGATCTAATAGGCTCCATTTACACACACTGTCAAAACTAACAAACTTGTCAACACTTTTTGATCCAACTACAGACCATGAAAGTCAATACAGCATCATGTAATTTTCTGTGAGTCTTCTCCTAGGCCAGCAACCCTTCTTCAGTTAAAAGTAACAGTGGCCAGTGGATGTGAGCAGGTCAGACTAGGGATCACCAACTAATTACACAGCACTGGCACTCCGGCTGCGTCCGATTGTTTAGAAAGCATTAGGGGCGAAACAGGCTTCCCTGGTGGATTGCACATAATTAGTTTGTAGCCAAGGTCGCGCACAGATACACAATCCCATAGACAAAACACAAACACACACACACAACAAAGCAAACAGAAGACACACAATGTATTCTTCTCCACAGCCTCCTTCAGTCTCTCAGGGCCACCACGCAAGAGGCTGTATTCATTGCTTAAATTAATAGCCTTCTGATTGAGTGTTATTTATGGTTATTCACACTTCATTTACAATGCGCACTTATAGCTATTAATTACCTTTGCTTCAGACAGACCATTATGAATGCACCAGTAAATTGAAAGCCTTTGTGATATGCTGCAAAGTATTAAACAGGCATTAAACAATATTAAGCACGGGCTGAAACTGCAGTATTTTATGAAAGATCAGTTGAATCCAAGTTGATTCGTATCGCATATCCCTTAAAAGGTCCCTAAGGATGGAAGGCAGTTTCTTACATTTGATAGGATGTGAGAAAAGATGATTGGGCTCCAAGAGATTTCACAAGAAAACAACATATATATATTTTAACAGACTGCTGCATGATAGTATTTCCAGGACAAAATTACTATATTTTACTATACTATAATTACTATAATTTTTGGATGACTTGGTTGTAAATTTCAGTCTATTGTTTAAAAAGAGCTTTTGCTATCATTGCAGTATCGATGTATTGTCCTTAACAAGTTTGAGATTTTAGCTATGTGACAACACTGCTGCGTCTACATTTTAAATGTTGCCACTCCTTCACAATCATTTAAACTGATTACAACCAAAATACTGGCATTTCTTTAGGTATATGTCCATCTCTTGGCACTGGAGTATTGCACCAAAATATGTAGATTAAAAGACCTTAGATCCTTTTAAGTACAAAAAGATGTTACCAACATGGCTACCAATGGCTGGAAAACACACTCTTTAATACCACTATAACGTTTTCTCAGCTCCAGAGCTCATTTCCATAAAACAATAAGCATATTGCTGGATCAATACAGATTTAAACAGCTGTAGTCTACTTAAGTGGTGCTTTAAATTAGGGCTATTGACCTGCAGGTGGGCGGACTTGGCACAAGTCCGAAAACAGTTACTGGAGAAACATCAATTCTCAATGGCAAAATGACTACACATTAAAAGCCTCAACGTACTAAAAATGCCAAACTGCCTATAAATTATTGCAAACAATTGTCCTAAATTTACAATAATCTAATATGTCATTTTCAGGGGGAACAGCTGAAAGTTGAATGTGTTAGATAGAGCAGAAATAGTGGAGAGATAACTAAAAGAGAAGGCTAAACTTAGTGTAGGACAAAGTCATGGTTAAGTATAGCAGAGCATTGTTGAATCTCGCAGGCAGGGATTTTACAATTGACAGATGGCTGAACCGTGACCGCTGAGAGCAAGGTCGATTAGGAGAACGGGTGGGCTCGAGCTTTAGTAGGAAATGATGAAACTAAATGAAGTTTGGTGCCGCGGACCGTGTGCAATTATCAGGTCTCCAGACACTCCACGGCTTCAGAATATGCAAGAGAATCACATTCCTCAAACCCACACAGAAACACAGCCTCACAGAGCAATGCACCGGCCGACACAATGTAATAAAGATTATGAATTCAATTGAGAAAACTGGAACACATGCAATCCCATTCATGTGGTAAGAGTGGAGGCGTAATGATAACAGGCTTTCAAGGCCATATTCCCAGACAGAAAATAATGCCCAGAAACATGGTTGTAATTTATGATAATAGTCAAATGACATTATCTGAATTCAGTTGGAGAGATGTTAATAGCAATTATTAAAATCATGTGTTGACTTGTCTTTTTTTTTTTTTTTTTTTCACACTCTTGTGCTTATAGTGTTGATTGCGGATTTAATGATGTTTAACTTTACCTTTGAACAGTAAGGCTGAACAGAGGTGTATAGCAGCAAATTTTCAGCCCTGGATACAAATCATCTTGTAGGGCCTGCACTACATGGTGCATGGTGGTGTAATGATGAATATATATTATAGACTTCGTGAGGGGCCCTGTGTGCACTGGGCCCTTGGTAAACAATACCCTTTACCCCCCCGTTTGACGCCTTTGAGGCTGACCTACCCTTTCTGATATTAATGCAGTGTGTGCCTAGCCCAGATGTTGTGTGAAAGCTTTGGCGGGTATCTCAGCACCTGTCTGTACAAATCTTGTAAGTGCATGCCGTTTCCAGTTCAAATACCTTTAACGGTGTATGTATGTAGAATAAGCCCATTTGAAGGGATGACCACATTTCGCTTACGTATTTTCAGACAAGTTGAAGGCATTTTGCCGTTTACCTGGATGCCATCCAGCAGTTTGCTCATGCACCAGAAGCTGTCTGCCTCGATGTTCTTCAGAGCCTCTTCCTCGAGACTGGACACGTCAAAGTTTTCCACCTCCTCCTCTGTACAAGAGACAAGAACAGACAAAAGTAAAATAAGGAACAAGACATACAGAGGATAAGTGTCAAGCGGAGTAAAGAAAACAAAAAGGTTATGAAAATGAAAATGAGGACTAAATATAGGAAAACACATAGGTACATGATCACTACACAGGAGAAATAAAGCTGGAAAAATACAGAGCTAGGAAAAAATCTGTGAAATTAAACGCATTCAAATTGCATGATAACCTTTAACAAAAACAATTTTCATTCTAGAAAATGTCATTTCAACAGCGATCAGCATAATACGCAGTCAGTTATTTTAAACCACTCTTCACAGTGTAAAGTTTATACTAATATTAAAATATGAATAATCAAAAATACTTTTAAATTAGACTTAGACTTTAAAATAGTATTGTCAAATTATTATGCAATTTATGGGACATTTTGTTTTAGGCCATATTCATGACAAATCTCTATAATCAAGTTTAAGATTAATATCTTAATATCACATATCATGAACATAATTAATGTATCCAAGTTCTCTAATAAATCTTAGTCTAATCAAAACTATAGTGTTTAAACCTCACTTCACATGATCAGTTGGTGTTTTTAAGTATCAAGGGATGAATATCAAAGCATTCAAAACAGTTTAAACATGTTTTTCTTCACAAGTTGCGGGCCTCATTTGAGCACACGGACACGTTCCTGTTTGACGTCTCCTCCGTGCTCCCTTGTGCGCTTCTGGATCCCCCTCTTTGGATCATTCTTAATCAGTCTTATCCCATCTCCTCCCCGCTGGCTGTCAGGGGCTGTCAGGGGCCCGTCACACGCATGCAGCTGTCACACCCCGCTGCCGTTAATGACATCTGATGACACCCATTGAGGAAGTCACCCGCTGGAAATGACTGGGGACTCGGTGTGCCTGATGCCTGCCCGGAAACAATACCTACTGTGCAACAAAGGAGTCTGTTCCAATCTGGGTGACAAAGCCTGTGATTACATGGTAACTATCAACTCAGAGGGGAATTGTGAGTTAGCTTCTCATTGGTGAAATGCATGATTTTGGATTTCACCATTTAAAAAGGTGGCTTAGGGCTCTGTTTCCTGTTTAAAGGTCCTATATTACGCAAAACTGACTCTAGTCAGTCGTAAGCCATATTATAATGTTGTTACCTAAACAACATACCTGTTGATGTTCCATTATCAAAAACATACCTGCAGTTGTGTTTTGTGTCATTCACATGTTTGTGTAACTATTTATTATTAGCCAGTCTACATCTTCAACGCTCAGAATGCTCTGCTCTACCTTGTGAGGTCTTGAAGTGGTATTTTTCAAGTTAACAGCTCCTTTTACCTTTAGTTCAGTAGAGATTGGAAATTCCAGGGCTGAAATTCAGTTTGATTCTAGAGAAGGTGTCTGTTTGAGAGGAGAACTCAGCTTAAATATACAGAGATTATGTTAAACATGTGTGAATCAAACAGAACACAACTCCAGGTATGTTTGTGATGAGGAAACTATATTATAGAAATCAGAAAATAGCATAATATGGGTCTTTTAAATAGTGGGATTCAGTTCAAAGTTCTCATTTAAATTGGTCCAAAAGAATTGCCAAATATACATTCTGTTAATATGAACTGACAAACGAATAAAAAAATTACATATTAACACATTTGTAAAGATTTAAACTACAAGGTCAGAATTTTTTTAAATGTAAAATACAACTAGAATATTTTGTTCTTTGTGGATGAAATTATGATACTTCAAAAAATGCAGCCAGTGCGATTTGCTAATTTCCTTCCATTCAAATTACTGGTCTGCTGCCTGCTTGTTTCCCTGGTGATGTTTTTGCTTTGCCTGAATGTTCTACATTATGGCATTAACTTTTCAATTTTCCAAGGCATAAACAACAATAAATACCTGTAATTGAATAAATGCTAGATGGATAAGATTGGGAGTGCATGTAATAATGAATGGACCTGATACAACATGAATATCAAGACAATGTCTCAGTTCGGTGCCTAATTTAAAACTTTCCACTGAGCAAGTATACATACGATTTTCTCATATACCGCGACATACGAGTCTCATCTTTGTCTTGTTTGTTTGAAGTCAGCAGAGGGAGGCGCGGAAAAGAGCAGAGAGCCTGAGACCTTTCATCCGATCACAGCAGGACAGACGAAGGTACCCACATTATCACACAACGTATTCTTGTGGCATGGACACCACATCTGATAATGGCACAAGATATGGGTGAGCAGGCCTGCAGTATGATTAGATGTCAGGGTAGTTCATTTTAACCACCGCACTAGCACCACTGTAGCATTACAATGCAACACAGCCAGGGGATAGAAAATAATGGACATGAGCTCTGCCAAAATGAAGAGATAAAAATCAATGGGATGGGAGCTAAAACAGCTCGCACCAATCATCACAAAGATATTACTACAGACATTTCATGGAAATAAACTACAAAAGCTGACAGGGTGTTTCAAGCACAAAAACACTATTGAATTTTTCCAAATAGCACGCATTCATTACTGGACAACCATTTGTTATAAAACATGCAGTGTTTCTTTCTCTAGGCATGTCCATCGAACCAAATATGCAGCTAGTTCTACAAAGACAGTCCAAATGATTGGAAACAGTTACTTTTGCAGAAGAAATATAGTTCATAAGCCAAAACAACTGGTACATACAAAATTCTTCAAAAAAATTATATTTTTTATAGTCAATATTCAAATGAAAATGTGTGCCTACCAAAGCTGTAAGGTCAAATTTGTTCATTAAAAAAATAAGGGAATGGAACAAAACTATTTGTCTATGTTTCTAGCATCCAAAGCAAGTTTGACCATAACATCTGGTCTCTACATAGACTTCAAGCTTGGTGTCATATCTCACGTGACCAGTTATACAGTGTAAACATATCATGCTACATTCTTCTCATATAATATTGCTTAGTCTTGCATATAATTACTTCCAAGCAAAAAAACAAAGATAGTATTTACAGTACGTGAATGTTCAATTATTTACTGGCTATTTAATAATTCAACACCCAAGCTCCATCCCTTAAGACCAACATTTCCTTCTCCGTTTAAATCAAAGCCATAACATTCAAACAACTGACTACAACGGGCCCTGAAGAGGTGAAAGAGGGAATCATTTTGAATCTGTATTTAGACTTAATAGCTCATCTGCAGTGGCTCACAAAACAATGAGACTGGATGAATACCGACTTCCTCTTTGGGACATAGCTGCTCTGGGCAACAGCGACGGCATTAAAAATTATAATTGAAAAGATTAATTGCCAACAGACCAACTGGCAATTGGCAGTATGTCAGAGCTGATTAACAAGGTGCTGAAGTACCACTGGCCGGCATTTTGGGAGACCCCCGAGGACAGTCCCTTAGTCTCAGACCAGTCTTTGTGGATGTGGCTGCAGAAGAAGACCTTGAGCTACACAGAACAGGGAGCATTTGCAGGAGTCCATGGTTGTTACTGGAAATACGCATAGCTCATCACAACAACAAGGACACAGGGGTAAGGGCTAAGAGCAGGGAGGCTACAGTGAGTCAGGGAGATAAGTGTATGATTAACAAAGCAACAGTGCCCTCTCTGGTCACTATATAAAAACAATAGGTAGTGGTAGTCTATGGGAGCTTATTATGAAAAACATTTAAATCCATAATTATTAGTGTGTTGGCGGTTAGTGGTTATGCAATCTTTTTGCTGGAATATCCTATATTGCCTGAGAATGTTGTGACAGCAGTTATAATTCTACAAGAGAGAAAAAAAGTAAATATATTAAAATTTTAGCGAGCTCCCTGCAAAAATCAGAGTTCAATACTAGACAAATAGCCCCAGGAGGTGTGTACAGATCCTGCAGGTCACTAATGGAGTATTAAAGTGAAATGCAGACCTTGACTGTTAGAATGTTTTATGTGATCTTATGTCAATATTGAATCTTACATAATCAAAAAGTAAGGCATAAGACTAACTGTGAAATAAAGCTTCTAAATGGCAAGTGTCCACAAGAACTTAATAACTTATTACATTTACTGCAGTTCTAATTACACCTAAGGGTCTGGTCAAGCGGTAATGGAGGGAAACGGGCAAATTTTTTACATTCAAATAGGTCTTATTCAAAAACTAGAGGGACTATTGAAATAAGTAAGGTATTAGAATGTAGGAAAGAGTTAGCACTCCAACAAGGTAAAGTTAACCCTGCAATATTCTTTCAAGTTGGTGACAAAAAATTTAAAACTCACGTCGGTAACGGAGGGAATGAAATATGCAGCACTTTTTGGGCAATAAATACAAATAGCGATAACTACCGGTTCTCACTTACATATCCTTAACAAACTGGTTTGAATATTTGCTTAATATAGTTTTCTACCATATGGTACAAGATTAGGTTGAAAAACCTCTTGCTTTTTGAGTAATGAGATTTTTTTATTAAGAAAGGTCATGGTAACGGAGGGAAAAGTAACGGAGGGAAAATTGTGCAAGCAAGTAGAAGGTGCATGATTTTGCATAATTTGTCAGCTTTTTTCTTCCGAATACTTTAATATTACTTAAAAATGAAAGGAAACTATTTCTATAAAATATGTCAGTCCTTCCAAGCAAATTTTTATCATTTTAAATACAACACAAGATATGATGAAATACATCAATTTATTTACATGATTTGCAGGTCTTTGAAATTTGGGAAATATTTTTTGTTCCATGTTGCATACATGGTATGTTTAAAACTTATGTAACTTTAGAACCAAAAATGGTACAGAAAAAAGGTAAACAGTTTCGTAAACTAGAGTACATATGCTATCTGTTGAATACATTTTTATATCAGATGCATTAACTTGAATTTTTGGCCTTGCTGTATACTTCTGCTTGAAATAATTTACTGCAATAATCAAGATGTTTAATTTAGTTCAACCATTTCACCATTGTAAATTGTCTACTGATGAGCTATTCTATTTTAAGTTAACTGACTGACTACCTTTCCTATGAGTGAAGTCAACAG